AAAAAAGAATTAGTAATAGTATACTTTGTTCAGTGAGAGAGATTTTTTAAAAGTTTCACTGCTGTAGATTCGGGCGTCCAGGTTACTGACCAATATACATGTGACTGCACACTATTCACCTGACCAGGTCACTGCATACTATACGTGACCAGGTCACTGCATATTATTCCAGGGTCACGGAGCACTGTACCTGTGGCACCTGATAGATGTGACATTGGTGGTTAAGTGGTTTAAGGCGTCTCGGAATTTAAACAGGCTACGAGGGTGACGTGTTAAAGTATCGAGGGTTTGATTCCCGGTCACTTCAACTTATTATTTGCTAAGAAGCACTTGTTCGTGAATGCATTAATATGTAATAATAAATGCATTCACGAAAAAGTGCTTCTTAGCAAATAATAAATTGAAGTAACCGGGAATCGAACCCTCGATACTTTAACACGCCACCCTCGTAGCCTGTTTAAATTAAATAACTAATTGGTGCTAGCCGAGTGTTGCGGTTTGCAGCCGGACAGTGGTAGATACCAGGTACGACTGCACAAAACATTATTTTGAGTAATAATGGAATAACTGCTCTTACGAATAAATTTAACTATGCTAAAAAATTATCGTCGGATCTTATTCAATTTGGCGATATCAGCAAAGTTCCCCAGAGCTTCCGCTGCTTATAGATTAACCAAGAATCAGGTCTGACGCTGATAAAACTCCCACTTCAGTATGAAAATGTCATACCCACTCCTTCCCTCCCAAGTGGAGGTGGGAGCCGTCCTTGTCTTCCAGGCAAAGCTCTGCCAGAGGTGAGTTCATCTTATGATCAGTTGTTCTTTATTATTTTGCATTGTTTTAAATTTTTTAGTCCTACAAAAAAAAATTATTTTTGTATTTTTTTTTTAAGAAAATCAAAGTTCGTAAAAATATAATGTTTTCCTGTTAAAAAGAAATTAAGTGCATTTACAGTTGCCAGTACACCAACTAAACAGAATGGGTGCTATCCTAGCCTTAATATGGATCCGGCATTATATACTGAAGCCATGTAGGAGATATAGATGAAAAACTTTTGATCATGGTGATTAAAATGGAATCAAGCCTGAAGAGCCGTAAATACACCAAAAATTTGCTTTTCTTGACTTTCTAGAAATTCTACCCAAACAGATTCTGTGGCTACTTCATTTAGTTTTTTATACCTGTTTTTATGCAGCAGTTTATATTTTCAGGTACATATAATGCTGCTCCACCCCTTTTCTGTTATATCTATCTACATGAGACAACCCTTGAATATGGCACTCGCCAATCACATCTTGACTCTTTAAATTACGCCATGTTTCCGTTATTGCAATAACATTGGTATAAAGTACGTTAATATGCTTTTTTTCTGCCTTTTTTTCTATTCCAGCTTTGCCCTTTTTTAAATTTCTGTGATCACCATTACCGTGTAGCTTGGGTGACTGTTATGTTCAAGTTATAATACAAGCCTAAATTAATTTTCCCACTCATATACCCTTTTAAATCCATTCCACTAACTAATCCAAGTTTTAAGCCTAACAACCCGTCAATGAACTACGAGAATATCCACACATGCCCAGGGTAAGGAACCCCCAATCCCTAGGATACGTGTCATTTCTACACAGAAGTGCCCCAGTTGTAATGATGGTACTCATGCCTTAGTGTTGTCCAGTCAACAAAATTTATATCATTTACCTAGAAAACCGTTTATTTTCCCACACCCCTTCAGGCAAAATGCCACTATAACAGGCGCCCCCCCTTCTTCCAATTATGTATATTGCTATCCTATACCTTCTAACTAAATTTCATTTTACGGTTGACTACACCTTGCCTTCAGCCATGAGGCAGATAACAGGTTTATCCCTTTACCATTCATGAGTCAACCGGCTAAAAATTCCCCCTCCCACCCCCAGAAAGAGGCTCTTCCCCTACTCCTGCCCTAAACAGAAGGCCCTGTCCATGTACCTAAAAGTCCCCAACAAGTCAATTTTTTTTCCCTTTATTTGGTTTTTCTTGTGCGTTCCCAGTAGTCAATTTTCATTCTCATGTAAACGGGAAGGGTTCAAAATTTTCCCACACTGTCCCCCGGTTCTTTGTCTTTCTACCTCCCATTCGTCCCCAATCCCAGCTTCTTTCCTGCTCCCCAGGCATGTCTAGTTTTTTTTGATCTGGAAGTTCAACGGAGTAATTTACAAACCCTAAAAGGGAGGAATAT